AAAAACTATGAAAAAGACCAATAGGAAGCACTAAAACCAAAGCCTTTTCTTTCTTTAAAGATGTTTTCATCTTTCTTTAGATATGAGAGTGAGAGTAGCGTTTATAGCGTTGCGGTTGGTTTTGGACACAGCTTGCTTTAGCGTTACGGTTGGAGACGCTCTGACACTTCGTCGCTGCTGCTCAATGACCAGCTCACTCGCGAACCACTCTAGTTTCTCTGAATTACTCATTTCTCCGATCCTTTTGCTTCCGAACAAAACCGATTCCACATTGTTTTGCTTCAACATCTCATCAGCGATCTCCGTCAGTTTCTTCACATTCTCTGCTCTTGGATCTGTGTCCACGTTCGGTCCACATGCTCCTAATCGCGATCCATTTGCCTGCTGCACCCCACCCAATATATTTCTCTAATGATTTTTTCATCCACAACGGAATACGAAAAAAACGCAAATTCATACATATATAGTTTGAAATGATTTAAAAGGAAAACCTGAATGCGAACGTAATTACTACTCCGATAAGGCCCAAAGCCCATAGCAACAGCCTGATCAACAAACTCAGCAGATCCATCACCAGAGATCCTCGCCATGGGCCGAGCCCATTCTTTAACCCGCCAATTCTTAACCTGCTCATAATCATAATTCACTTCAAAAAGCTGACCAGTTCCCAGCGACAACACCAACAAATCCTCCACTCCTTTCACCGCCGGAAACTCCTGTTTGTTATGGAACACGTGCGTTATCGCCGCCGCCGTCGGATTACTCATCGCTAATCCACCTCCCACCGCAACGCACCGCGTTTTCCCGTCAACGGAACACGTGCGAACCGGATCAAACGTCCCCGGCTCTGCCCACGTGGCGCGGCAAATATCTCGGAGACGGAAATCGAAACTGTCGCTTTCTAACGCGTCGGCGCGTGAGAATAGAAACGGCGCCGTACTTGAGAGATCGTAGCAAGAGATGAGGATTGGTTTGAGTGTGTCTTTAAGCGTTAGATCGGCGAATGATGCTTTCATTGCTTTTTCTAGCTTTGCCGTTGCGGCGGTTACTGAAGATGATCCGGATCCGGATCCAGATCTTATGACCCGTTTTATCGCTGCTCCTGCTCCTCCTCCTCCACTTCCGCCGCCTGATCTGTAGAATCCTTCGGCGTTTTCGACGAGGAATTTCCAAGTGTCTTCGGCTTTGAAAATCGGGCGGTTACCGTCTCTAGTCGCGAATATCATCGCCGCGAAGACTCCGCCGACTCCTGATCCGGCAGCGACGTCGAAGTAATCTGCGATTCGAGCGTTTGGATCGCCGGATTTCTCTTTCAGCATTTGTTCAAGATAGATTAGGGATTTTCCCGCCAAAAGACCTCTCATTCCGCCACCGTCAATGCTCAAAACACAGATTCTTCCTCTTGGACTTCTAAACGATGAAGACGGTGTTCCTGGGAGAACGACGCCGTTTGGAGTCAACGGAGATCTCGGAGAAGGACCTGCTTCGGAATCACCGGGTCGTAATGGACTCCGAGGAATCCATAGTAGCCTTGGGTCTTCGTAACCGAAGAGAAATTTGCTTTCGAGAATCGAGAAGATCTCGTAATTGAGCTTATCATCGGGTTCGTGAGATCGAGTCGTTGATAACGTTGGACTGGTTTGAGTCCTCTCGTAATTTCCAGGAGTGTTGGGAGCTGTGTGATTGACAAAATGCTTCTTCTTCCCCTTGGAGGAAACTGATAATGGCGGTGGCTTATCGTAGCGCCGATTCATAATCGTTAGGCTTTTAGGCAAACCTTGAAAATTGAAGCTTCCACAGCTATGGCTGACAATTTGGTATGAAATGTATTTTTCAAAGACGTGTGCAAAAGATTTTGATTTTGGATTTTGTGTAAACCAGTGGTGTATGTTAGCATGACATGGCTAAGCACTACTCGTGTGCTTGGAAAGGTCTCGTACCCACGTCCAACGCCGCCTCCAGCAAATTTAGCTCATTTATATGATTATATCTTCTTCTTTTTTATTGAGTAAACATATATCTTAATTTGTTTAAACAAAGCAGTTTATTAGTTGGTTGGCAGATATACCTAAATATGACCCAATCACATAAAAGTATTCTTTTTTTTTTTTTTCCTCTAGATTTATTATTTATTGCAAATTTGTTATTAATTTGTTAACCAGTGGTGTATGTTGGATTTTTCAAACACATAAAAGTATTCAAGGAATGTTATTAATTTATCTGAGTGCAATCTAAATTATCTAATTAAATAACAGTATGACATATATCACATTTTCTTACTCGAATCTCAGTTCTTACATCGAACATTTGCCACTAAATTCATATTATTGGTATTTGGTGTAATTAACTTAACGTCTTTATATATAAATCACGAATGATTATACAGTTAGCTTGTGGAAGCTTTCTTTAAAGACGAGAAGAAAAGAGAATGAAGTCGATTTGAGACATTAGAACAGAGCTGATTCTCCTTTTTCCCAAATGGATTCCAATCTAAAGTATCACAAAATATGAGTTCCAAGTGAAAAATCTCTCAATAAACACTCACATGTTGCTTATATATCTATAATCTTCAATACAGTAAATAAATATATCTATATATGTAATCAAAGATCATTTTTTCTCTGGAAGTAAAAACAAGAAATCTGCAGATAGATGATAACAGGAGCCCGATGGTGATACTATGTATCCCTTGTAGTTTAAACCGAGAACGTACCGGACAGATTCCCAAGTGTTGCAAGTGGCGATCCTGCATCTGTGAAGTAGGACGCGAGATTGATCCCCGAGTAGTCGTATTTGTTCAAGAAAGGATGTTCCTGATTTTTTTTGACCCAGAGTATGATTCAACATTTGACTGGATGGAAAAAATATGCAAAAAGGGATTATATAAAACAAACCATTAGTTCCTTTGCAGAGCTTCGACTGTTTGGATCCTTTTGCAAACTGAAAGAAAGTGTGGACTCAATTATATTAACTTAGCAAGTAATCCCAGTAAAAGAGGGGAAAGGACTTTTTTGAGAAATTACCATGTGGAGATGAATGAAGATAACTCAGGGGAGAAATTTCCCGAAGGAAGAGCGGGTGGCGTTTGGTCAACAATGGCTTCCATCAACTCGAAAACACTGGTCCATGTTTCCTCTTGATTCGGAGGTGCATAAGGGAACTTTCCTGTTGCACATTCGAGTACTACTAAACCCAAGCTCCATATATCACTTTTGTTACTGTACTTGTTTCCAATGATTCGCTCTGGCTGTAAAAAGGAAAAAATCAGCTTCTCAATTTTTCTAATACTGGAAAGGGTTTCAAACTAGTCAATGCTCAACAGACAAACGAGATACTTACAGACATATAATTGTAAGTCCCCACAAATGTGTTTGCTAAACCTGCGGTGTTTGTCATAACGGTACTCACACCAAAGTCAGTTATTTTGACTTCTCCTCTGTGGTTGATCAACAGATTGGATGGTTTCAAGTCACGGTGGATGATATGCCTATCGTGATGAAGATAGATCAATCCTTGAAGCACCTGCATTAACAGAATCAATAAGTGACATCAATCAACCGATACAGGAACATATAGTTTTCCTGTGTATCCTGTGTTTCTTACTTGTCTAAAGATGGCAGAAAGATAGGAGTCAGGGATGGTTTTAACTGATTTGAGAAAGTCTGCTAGAGATCCTCCATCCATGTACTCCAAGATTAGTGAGATTGCACCATTGTCATAAAATGACTGGTACGAGGTAACAAGATTTGGACACTGTGAGGATTGATTTATTTTGAGCTCTTGTGCAATTGCCTTGCGAATTGCTTCATCAATATTTAGTTGAATGACCTAATTATATAGCATCAGAGTTATGCACAGTGAGTGACAAGGCAAGGGAGAAAAAGATTTGTAATTCTTCAAACAGAGAAAAGATGAGCAAATTAGCTCATCATATACATAGAATCTGATATGAGGTACCTTCAAGGCGAAAAATTGGCCAGTCCATTTGTGTTGAACCAACTGAACAACACCACTGCTTCCTTTGCCAATGACTTTAACCATATCCAAATCCGACAAGCTCAGCTGATCATCAGCTGGCTTAATTGGAGACAGCTGAACACACAGTCGCAAACAGTAATCAAGAATACATGAGCTTAATCCCTAAAAATTACTCTATCCAAAACTACAGAAATGATCTTGAAAAATTTCTAATTATGATCAGATCCACAAAGCACATTATAGTTCATGCAAAATCTTCATTCCCAGAACCAAATGAACAATCAAAACCTAAAACTTGTCGAAATTCAGTAAAATCAGCACCGAACGAGGAAGAGGAAAGACTTACGACTTCAGGCTCCGATTGAGAGATGATTCGAACTCCATCTTTGTTAACTCGTAGATCTCCATCCTTAAACGTACCGCTCTGCGTCCTACAGAGAGAACAAAAAACCCCATCAAAAACAAAACCAGAGACATTTCCGCACACAAAGACATCTAATCTATCGATAGATCCATGGAGAAAGAGATAGAAATATACAGGAATTTGGTGATGGATTGCTCGCCAGCAACAGGAATTGCGAGCTTCAGATTATTGCTAAATCCACCTTTCTTCATCGTCGTCTTCGTTTACTTCCTTCTTAGCTTCTTTCTCGACTGAGTCATTATATGTAAGTTAAATACAGATTTAAGCATAATCATGTACTTACTTTTCAGCAAGAAATTGGAAAACAAATACAGCCATTAATTAATATCATCAGTCAAGCACATGTTCATGACGTTGACCAACGACTTAGATGACTTTCCCATTTACTTGTTTACCCGGTTTTCTTTGGCCGGAAAGTTTTAATCCACATTTTAACCGGAACCAAACCGGTTCATTCAGTTATTCTTTGGTTTTTTTAGCTTTGGTTTTGACCACTCCCAAAATCCCATTACAACAAAACTAACCAATTTGGCACTGTTCATATATATATATAAGCATATAAGCAGCGTTTGATATTTCCAGTTAAAAGTTTTCAACATCTCAAAGTTTGTTTGATCAAATACAACAAAGTGACAAACAGTACTTATGTTTCTCGGGTTTCATGTTTGAAGATTACAAGGTTTTCTTCAACAAGAAAAACACAAACAAGCATACATACATATATTTTTTTTACACATCAAAATAATCACACAAAGAAAACTCATTTCGGATTAAGTATAATCTATCTATCAATTAACACCACTATCATTCATTCATACTTCATGTCTAGTCTCTATAACCAACAAGAACATGCTATTCTTCAACATTGTCTATATATTGTAAGCCCTATATACATTTACATAGTCACAGACTCACAGAGGCTCCACAAACGATTTCCCCGAACATATAATCCTATCACAAATTGCGGGCAAGAGCTACTAGAGGCAATGCTTATGAGGTTCGTTCATATCTCCATCATGTTAAAGGAGAATTTCGAAAGAAGCTTGGGAATTTGCGATATGATCGGCCCATAAGTCTGCAACGCATAAATGAGACATCATATCAATGATTCATAACACAGGAATCAGGATTAAATACAGCTTGATTGACTGATCCTGTTAGTTTTACCAGGAACATCGATTCAAAGTTCACGATGAGTTAAAGGAGATGAAAGCAAGAGAGTACATACCTTTTCATTTTCATGGAGTTGACACAATGGAACAGCGAGGAGTTTGAAGTTCTTAGGCACGACAAACTGTTGATTTACTGGTAATCTCACAAGAAAAAGCTTTGTGCATTCCTAATTAAAAGATGAGGATAGAGCAGAGCTTTAAGTGTATGCACGAATCATCAAAAGTCTCAACTTTTATTACCATGGAACTGAAACTAACTAACCTTTGGGTGTTTCACATTAGGTGGCAAGAAAGGATACATCAACGTCTCAAAGTTGGGTCTCCACCACATCCCAATACATTCCCCTACCTACAACAATTTAATAATTAGAGAGACCATTCTTAAGCCAGAAACAATCACATAAAAAACACTTAACACAAGAATCCAGAGTTCCTACCTCTAAACCTGGAACAACGACATTTTCGTTAACCGATAGCTTTGATGCTAGTTTCCGTTTTACACCTTCAATATCTAGAAGGTTACCGATAAACTTTACTTTAGCATTTAGAATTAAGACAGAGAATTTATGCATAAAAATGTAATGAAACAGTATAGTAAACCTGATTCTCCAGGTCTTAAACGACCACCAGGAAGCTTGAAAATAGAGTTTCTATATTGAAGAAGCAAAACATGAGGATGCTTGAGTAACTCAACCTGATGTGTCCCAACATTAGATTTTAATCACTCCTTTTCAAAAAAAAAAAAAAAATCTAAGCAAATCAAAATCCCTAATTTTGCTATCAACTGTATAAAATTACCAGAAGAACAGCTTCAACGCAAGTCCTCAATCCATGAGCAGCATAACTAAACAAAAGGAAGAGAATTTTAGCTACAGATTAAGACAAGAATAAAAACGCAGATGATCAAAATCACATCAAAACTGGAATTACTTGGATTTCAATCTGATGACTCGATCAGAGATAATCTCGTCCTTGACGCGAAGAGCGTCTCTTGAACTGAAGTAGTAGCTGCTAAGCGGGTATAATTCTACCATCAAGTCATGAACGACATGGTTTCTTCTCGTCGTGTTCTCTTCACTCGTCTCCTCCATATCTAAAGCTCGAGCTTCTTCTCCCATTTTTTTTTCCCGGAAAATTCAAAGATAGAGAGCTAAAAGCGATCTCAATCGATTAAAATTAAATAACAGAGAGACCCTAAAAGCAGAGAAGACGCAAGAAGAAGAGTGAAGAAAGGTGTCGTAGTCGGATCACTGAGACGTGGCGGCTTCAGAGAGTCCTTCTCCGCAATTAGCTGACGACGGCGGGACCGCGGGAGAGTGAGGAAGAAGAAAGTAATGGGCCTGTTATGATATTAGTGGGCCTTTAGTGATAAACAAGAAAACGGCACCGATGTTTAAACACTCTGTTGTTTCGAACTACTAAAAACGACGCGAGTTTCTATTTTCTAACTCAAAAACGACGAGGATAAGAGTCGCTGTTTCAAATTTGGGTCTTTTACTTCTTCTTGTTCACTTGAGGAAACACAGTAAAAAACCTAAAAAGAGAATGAAACTCGCAGGTCTGAAATCGATCGAGAACGCTCACGAAGATTCCGTTTGGGCGGCGACGTGGGTTCCGGCGACGGAAGATCGGCCGGCGTTACTTTTGACTGGATCTCTCGACGAGACGGTGAAGTTATGGCGACCGGATGAGCTGGATCTTGTGCGGACGAATACTGGACATTCATTGGGAGTAGCAGCTTTGGCGGCACATCCTTCTGGGATCATTGCAGCATCTTCTTCGCTTGATAGCTTCGTTCGCGTCTTCGATGTTGATACTAATGCTACAATTGCTGTTTTGGAAGCTCCCCCTTCTGAGGTTTGGGGAATGCAATTTGAACCAAAGGTAATTATTGACCTACTTCGAATCTTTTGAGCTCAATGATCTTGTATCCATTTAAGGTTGTCTTGTGGTTGGAGAATTTGATTGTTGCAGGGAATTTCACTTTTTAGCTGCAAGGAATTCTTCTCCTGATCTATATAACAATGCTTGGAGCCTATTTGGAATTGCTGAGAATCGTTTGAATCTGTAGCTCTGATCAGATAGGGTCATCTACTCTGCTAGGAAAATAGATCTAGATCATCTTCTGAGTTTTCACTGAGTCTTATATAGGAGCATAAGAACAGTTTATTGATGCTTTTATGAAAACTCTTGGTTTGGTATGGTAGAATCTTGAACTGGTGACATTTAATGCAATGATCTCTCTCAGTATAAATAACTTAATGTCAAGATACCGTTTAGTTTACAGTGGAGTTTCTATTTGCTTCTGAGCTGGTGTTTACATAATTTCATCATCACTCTTCAGAATGGTGTGCTTCTGCTAAGTGCTAACATAGTATTTTACATGTTCCAAGGGTACAATCCTTGCTGTTGCAGGTGGAAGTAGTGCCTCAGTCAAGCTTTGGGACACTTCAAGCTGGAGATTAATCTCAACTCTATCAATCCCACGCCCAGAAGCACCAAAACCTTCTGAGAAAACCAGCAGCAAGAAATTCGTTCTCTCAGTGGCTTGGTCTCCTAATGGGAAACGGCTTGCTTGTGGTTCAATGGATGGCACGATATGTGTTTTTGATGTTGACCGCTCAAAGCTTCTTCACCAGCTAGAAGGTCACAACATGCCTGCAAGGTCCCTTGTGTTCTCCCCTGTAGATCCGAGAATCCTCTTCTCCGGATCAGATGATGGGCATGTGAACATGCACGATGCAGAAGGGAAAACGCTGTTGGGGTCCATGTCGGGGCACACAAGCTGGGTGCTTAGCGTTGATGCTAGCCCAGACGGTGGAGCCATAGCAACTGGCTCTAGCGATAGAACTGTGAGGCTATGGGATCTTAAGATGAGAGCTGCAATTCAGACAATGAGCAACCACAATGACCAAGTTTGGTCTGTGGCGTTTAGACCACCAGGTGGAACCGGTGTCCGGGCTGGTCGACTTGCTAGTGTCTCTGATGACAAGAGTGTATCGCTCTACGATTACTCATGAACAATTTGGTTTTTTCTTTTATGCATTCTCCAAGACGCATCTAGTTTCCGAGGATTCTTTGTAAACACTAGTTGTAACAATGTAATCTGCAACAGGTTGATTTTGACCGGAGACTTTAGATTTATCGCTTACATTAAAAAAGATGAAATGGTTCAGACTTTGCTTAAAGAACTTCACTTATTGGAAAACTGAGAAACAGATAAAGATCACAGAAAGATGAGCGGCGAAGAGTACACAAACAAACGGCTAACAGTTTTCAAAAAAAGACAAAACAGCTAAAGATTATGGTCTGTTTCTTATGACGTAAGTGTATTACTTCCTAAGTAACTCTTGAGAACATCCATGACAGCTCCAAAATCTGCTTTCACATCAACAGGAGGATTGGAGAATCTGCAAGCCATGTCAGGGATGGCATTGGAGTGATAATCTATCTTAGATTGAGTAAACTTCAACCCATGAGCAGTACTCACAACCACAGTTCGATCAGTCGGTGCAATCACTCCTTGGTTCCTCAGCTTGAACAGAGCAGTTAGAGCTACACCTGTATGAGGACAGATAAACATTCCAGTCGAATCGGCTTGAGCCATTGCATCCATCAGCTCCTCCTCAGTGGCTTCTTCTACAATACCGTTGCACTTCTTGAGAGCGTACACAGCTCTATCGATGGAGACAGGGTCACCGATCTGAATCGCAGAGGCGAAGGTGGTGCTTGCAGTCATGGGCTTGAAGTCCTTCCAACCAGACTTGTAGTGCAAGAAAAGAGGATTAGCATTAGCCGCTTGTGCACAGACCATCCTAGGGATCCTATCGACAAGTCCCAGTTCGTGACACATCTTGAATCCTTTGTAAAAGGCATAAATGTTTCCGAGATTGCCTCCAGGAACAATCACCCAATCCGGAACTTGCCAATCAAACTGCTGCAAAATCTCAATAGCTGCAGTTTTCTGCCCTTCTAACCTCAAACTATTCAACGAATTCGCCAAATAAATCGGCAATTCCGCAGTTATCTCTCTAATCAGCTTCATACACCCATCAAAATCAGTGTCAATACTCAAAACAAACGCACCATTAGCTATCGGCTGAACCAGCTGAGCCATTGAGATCTTGTTCGCCGGTAAGAACACAATCGATGGGATTCCAGCGGAGGCACAATAAGCAGACAGAGCAGCAGAGGTATCTCCGGTGGAAGCACATCCAACACCAACCACAGGTCGTTTCATCTTCCTCAGGCGATTAACTTGACTAACCAAAACAGTCATTCCAAGATCCTTGAAACTTCCTGTATGACTAATCCCACAGTGTTTCACCCACAGATCATTCATTCCTAGAAACTGTTTACCAAATCTCTCAGCCCAAAACAGATTCGAGTTTCCTTCAAAAGCCGAAACGATGTCGTCGTCATCGATCTCAGGAAGAACCCACTCTTTCTTCGACCAAACACCCGATCCATAAGGCCATGTGCTTTTACCAACACGCGAATCAAAGAGATCTCGCCAATACGCGCCATCGAATCGCTTCAAAGCCTCCATATCGTGCTCGACATCAAGCAAACCACCGGAGCGGCTACGGTACACGATCTCGTCGAGAGAGTAAGACTCAGTGGATCCAGGAGCTGCATTGAACGGAACGTATTTAGCTGAAAATGGATTCACGGCGGTGGAACGGTTGCGACGAGCCTCATCTCGAATGTTATCCTCGGTACGGTGAGGAGGCTTGACAGCTGTCTCGATCGGAGCTTTGTTGTTGTTGCCATCGGCGGTACAGGAGACGAAGACGGGACGGTGGCGGAGGAGAGAGGCTGAGCGGTGGCGGCGGATGGGGTCTTGTTTAGGGTTTAAGGAAGATACAGAGGCGTTGAAGAGACAAGAGGAAGCCATTTTTTAGAGATTGGAAAGAGAGAAAGAGGAGAAGTGAGATGCGGCTGAGGATTTTGAGGAGAGAGGACACGAGAGAGAGAGAGAACTAAATTCAGATACTTAAACCGGCCATTCGGTTTAAGCTTTTTAGGTTATAGTGATAATTGGGATTATATGTGACGTAGAGAGACATTTTGGGCCCATGAACCATTCAAATATCTGGATCGCTTTCCGTATATAGCAATTGAATTTTTATATTTTGTCACGTTTGCTTTAAACAGGCTAATAAAGTACATATTATAAGGTAGATTCATGTTTGACCAAAAAGATATCAACTGACACCAGAATCACGTTTTAATTTTGATATTACACCATCATGATTTAGATTGAAACTCTAGTAGTAGCATGGTGAATACTTCAAGTATCCTATATTACTTGGTTGAATTGGCAAATCTTACAGAAACAAATATCTATTTGAACCGGGTGTATATTTATATAGATATGTATGTATAAATCTGACTAACTGTCACAGACTCGAATTTATTTAACAAGAAGAACGAGAAAGCAAGAAGGGACTGGACTCAAATCCTATAAAACTACACAAAAGAGAAAAACAAGTCGATCATTGCTTAGAGCAATAAAACATCTCTATACATTGAGTAGGAGAGGTTCGAAAGGCGAGGCTAAACGGGCGGTATGTTTGAGAAGGAGAAACCTTTGTATCCTTTGTAAGCATAATACGCAATCCGAGTATAGTAAAACCCGGGGATGAACAGAAGACACCCGAGGACGATGAAGAAAATCCCTGGTTTCTCAAAAAATTAAACAGAGAATGAATCATCAATACCTTAGCTCATGCCCAAATCACATATGAAAAACTAAGAATGATAAGTCATTGATGCAATGATGAGAAAGACATAATTCTGGCAATACATAAGAAAAGGCAAATCAAATGAAATCAAGAGTATGATGCAGATTGCAGATACTTTGGTTTCGCATTCCGTTGGGGATGTGTGAAACGCATCAATGAGTTTACAGCCCAGTGGAAGAAGAGCAAACTTACTAAATTGAAGCAAATCTTACAAACAGAGGTTTTAAGAAGGCTCATTACTGGGAATAATCAATCAGAGTGTACCATCTAAGACACATGTATAGACTTCAATGAAAATCTGTACATTTCATCTCGGAGATACGAGAAGCTTAGAATTATCATATACGAGTTTCTCCCGGAAATTTACTAAACAGTACACATTCTAACAATGAAATCAAATTGTATGCCTTAAGAAAACTTCTGTAAGGCTTCCATCTATTCATCCATATCTCCAGAAAACAGAGATCAAAAGGCCAAACTGAAACGAAATTAGCTAATCAGAGCACTTGCAATCTATATCTATCAGCTTAATCACCTAAATTCTTACAATAACTTCCTCAAATCTAACCATTTCCTAAAACAGTCTAGCTGAAATCAATTACTGCTTTCTTAAATCTCTCAAACTAACAAAGAGAAGTCCCCCATATTCTCATGAATTTCAAATTTCTACTCCAAGACTGGATCAATAAATGGGGAATTAGTAAGAAAGGTGAAGAAATCGCTACCGTGGCCTCGATCACCGCCAACTCGATTATAAGCCATGAAGAAGCCGGAGACAATTCCTAGGGTTCCGAACACGAGTAAAGCCACCGCGAGTGCGATCTCCTTCACCGGCGGTCGGTTATTGACGGTGTATGAAGTTTCAATCATAATGTCCTCGTCGGTTATCGAGAACGCATGGTCGACGTACGCCATTTACACAGCTTCCGGATCAAAGATCAATGAGAAACAATCGGGATCGATCTAGAAAAAACAGAATGACGTTTGAATCAGAAAGCGGATGATCTAGAGCTCGAGAGAATCGAAAATCGTACTGTTTGATTTTAGGTCTTCAGATGTTTATGAGTCTCCTGCGACGGTGACGGATTAGTTTGGTGCAATTTCTTTTGGTCGTGAATTCTACTCAACGTACGGTGATGCAAACTACGCGTCGTTTGATTTTTCTTTTCTAGGAAAACGGCAGAACGTGCGAGTTTGAACAAATCAACTAATCAAAGTGGACCATTAACAAACCACAGATTACTTTACTCTGTATTATTCATTTGTTCTTTTGATGATGACATAATGTATTTACAAATTCAAGGGATTCAGGTCAAGAAATCAAACCAAAACCGAACCATATAGAAGATCATAGAGATTTATGGGGAGGATAGAGTTTCCAGAGAGCAACAGTTGCATCTTCAGACGCAGACGCCATTAGCTCACAGTCTGGAGAGTAGGACACAGCGTTGCACTGCAAACAAACGCATGAAAGCATCAGATACAAAGATTTAGAAATACAGTTGTCTCGTAACTGTTGAACCTAGTACATACCGTTGCTCGGTGGTACTTTAGTATTGCTAGAGCATTTCCTTTGCGGTAATTATAGACCCTTATTCTGTTTTTCAAATATGTATCAAACACGAGAAGAGTTTTTAGCTTCTAACAATTGGTAAAACCAGTTGAAAGATCGATGGAAGTGTTTTGGAAAATTTAAAAAAAAAAAACGATTTCATATGCATCGACATTTTTTTACACTGGAGAAAGAAAGCCGCAATTGATTTATTCATGTTTTGTTTCATATTGTGAACATCAGTGCGTAACATGTGGATGCTTTTTAACAAAAATACATGTGGATGCTAACCTGTGGTCCCAACCAGCCGTTGCTGCAATTTTCCCATCGGGTCGAATTGAGGTGCCCGATACACCGGGCCTTTCCAAAGTAATCTCTTTCCTCATTGTACAAGAACCCTAAAATCATATGAAATTTTTTCATGGAATCAGTATTAAACTATAGCTTTACGGAAATCTCACAAGGGCATCCTCTCTGGCAGATGTCAAACTTACAGCAGAATGGTTGAGATTATACATCACAATTTTGTCATCTGCCCCTCCTGAGATACCTCCATCACATGATGATGCAATACTTAGACTTAAAACTGCATAAAGAAGACAAAATAAATAATTTGGAAAATTTAAAGAGCAGGAACAAAATATAAGGAAAATCTGAATACAGAGGATGGGAACAAGACCTGGCTCAGAATGAAACTTCACACTTGTTAGAGGAATCTTAGCATTGCGTATATCCCAAAGCAGCATTGAACCATCCTCATAACTGCGCAAGTTTGGAATGAACCACCCATAATAAAAACAAAGTATGAAATCTTGAGATTTGTCTTTCTTGATTAATGGAAAACAGCTTAGGAAAGAGAGCATACCCAGCTAAGACATGTAAGAAACCCTGTGATTCAGGAGGGCAAAACAATTGAACAGCCATACACATTCCTGCAAATGACGACATTTACGACCTTGAGGAAAGTATTTTAAGCAAGTTCAAAGATGAACAGAAGAAGGCATTCTAATTTTAAAAATTTTACTGATGAGAAAAAAAACATCAGTTTTAAAAAGAAATGTACATATGAAGGATCTCATCGAAAGAACAATATGAGCTCACCTCTTCCTTTGGTAGAAGCATTGGGGGATTCGTCAAGGCTACTTTGAGGAAGCTGTATGATCTTGTCTCCGGTATTGATATCCCATATCTCTACCTTTATGGATAGACCAAATCACAAGAATGAAAACCAATAAAAGAAGCGAGAGGAAACAATTCTATGATTTTTTCCAAAACAAAACATATATGGATTTCTAGTCACCTCAGTAGGTTGCTCCCCTACTACTGCTACAAAAGTGGTACCTTCAGCATGATCTCCATCTGTTATTGTCAAATTCTTAGTAATATGAGCAATAATCAAATTCATGAAGAGTAACTTATGATCTTACTTTTAACATAGAAATATTGAACGGTATCAATCTAATCCAGAACACAAAGTCTCTAGACAACGCAAGTAAAACATACCCTGAAGCAGACCAGAATCCTCCACCGATCGTTCACTATCATCTCCCAGTTGAACACTACGCGTGTCTCCATCATCCTGCTCATCACAATTCTGTAAGTGACTTACAGCTTCTTGCAGAGAAGTCTTAGGCTTCTTAACAAGAGAGAACTTGCAAAAATGATAGGCGCTTGTCTCAAGTATTAGTAATGGATCTCTGCCAAGCATGCCACGAGAATCATTGGTTATAGTTCGATATAGAAACAAATGCAAAAACAGTCGAATAAGGGTAAAATCATATCCACCTTGATAGACCACCATCTTCAATATCCCAACATTTGACAGTTCCATCTCTTCCCTGGCTATAACCATAACAGTAACTCGTTCAGATTTTCCGTAAATAGATTGATTAAGAAAGCATGATGGCTTAACTTTTACCTGATAATCTTGTTCTCTCCTAACCATGGACTAGCTGCAACAGCTAAAACCCCATTTGCTCTACTATGAGCCCTACAAATCCGAAACAGAACAATGAGCTATAACAAGATAGTTTATTATGACAAAACAAGGAATTGAAGAGCAAAATCACAAACCACGCAGACGAAACTGCACGATGCTGAATGGTATCCCAAATCCTCAACTCTCCATCAGCTGAACTGAAGAAAGAAAGCTTCAATTTTGCACCAAATCATCAAAAATAAAAACACATATGAATCGAGAATTGAGCACAAGTGAGAGAGAAGGACTAATATACCCAGTGAAAAGCAGAGGTTTTGATGGATGAAACGAAACGTCCATAACAGAGTGACGGTGTCCTCTAAGCACAGCAACCGGATCAGGCGGAGGTCTCTTACTCATCTCTGATTTAGCTTCTACACAAAACCAAAACTCTTGTAATAGAGAAACCAAGAGAGAGAACACACAACTTTAATCGACTCCACAAGTCTCAGACTTCGACAACAGCAGCAAGTCTGCAACACAGAGGAAGAGAGAGCCTTTGAAACTCCTTGGAAATTTAGATTAAAAACTACGTGTCGTTTAATATTAACTTCTTTTCTAAAAAACGGCAGAACGTGCAAATTTATCCATTTAACGGATAACAATATCCAAGTTTCCAAACAAACCAAACTCTCAAACTGTTTCACAATAAGAGAGCGAAAGAGCTAATAATTCTCAAGGATCCGACGAAAATGGCACCGAGATCCGATTCACAAACCCTAGCCACCGGCTCCGCCACATCCGATGAATCCTCAATCGATCCGATCTTCCACATTCTCCGTATCATCCCTTTCTCCTTCCTCCGACCACCGCGTCTTCGTCTCAAGCTCCCTTCCTTCACTCTCCCATCTCCAATGACTGTCTTCTCACTGATTCTCCTCACTTACTTCCTCGTCGTCTCAGGCTTCGTCTACGACGTGATTGTCGAGCCACCAGGTATCGGATCGACTCAAGACCCAATCACCGGGTCAGTACGACCCGTAGTGTTCATGTCGGGTCGGGTCAATGGTCAATACATCATAGAAGGTCTTTCTTCGGGATTCATGTTCGTGCTCGGTGGGATTGGGATCATAATGTTGGATCTGGCGTTGGATAAGAATCGAGCTAAGAGTGTTAAAGCATCTTATGCTACAGCTGGAATCTCCTCCATTGTGATTGCTTATGTTATGAGTATGCTCTTCATTCGCATTAAGATCCCTGGTTATCTCCATTAGAGGTTTAGAATCACTTTTCACTTTGTTATGTAATTGGATCTTTAGTTTTAAGATCGATCACTAGAAAGAAAAAAAATGTGACCTTTTTTTGTGTGTGTTTTCTAAGCTTATGTGTTTCTTGTTTGATAATGAGAATTTCAGCTTTGAATGTTAGTATTAGTAATCTTATTGTTGAATTTTGCGTTGAAGAAGATAATGTGATTTGTTCTGCTACAATTATAAAACAACACAACCAATAAAGCTGAGATTTTTGAAGTTGGGTTTGTGTGAGATCGTTCGTTGTTTCAGGTGTTGATTGTTGAATTTTGCGTTGAAGTAAGATAATGAGAAATTTACTGTGACGCTTATATGATAACACAAACCATAAAGTAGAGATTTTTGAAGTTTGGTTTGTTGGATCGTTCGTTGCTTCAGGGCTTGTTGATGTCTGCAAAATCGCAGATGCAGATTTCTAATTTCTCAAAGAAGTTCCAACACAGAAATGATCTTTCTAATAAAAAATTCCGGTCAAAATTGTTATTTATGATTTTAGATACATGATTTACAATAAGAAGTTATGAGATCTGAATGCCTGTGTATTTACATACTCTTTTATACATTTAGTGCTGAATTAAGTAAATGGTTGATAGATTCAAAATTGTGTTTGTTTGCTAGCATTATTCTTATCTGCTGAAATAGGTTCTTGGGGAGAAGAGAAGCCGAGGTGAGCACATCACAGGAAACTTGGTCGAAGTTAGGATATCAATGGGACGGTACTCGGGCATGATGAGACCTTCTCTCTCTTCTCTGGTCCAAGCTCTTGATCTGCCATTGAATGTCCCATACTTGACCAGTTTGCGGAATCCCCATGTCTTCTTCTTTGCCGCGCTGTTCACCAGTTTACCATTCATCTTTTGGCTTAGATACTCTCTCACTGCCTGCAAGCTCTGCTCCACAACCTCAATGGGTGGGGAGACTAGTGGGTTTCCCTCTGCGCTCAGTTTCCTCAGCCGCCTCATGCATCCAATGGACTCAGGCAACACTGTTATCTTGTTGTAGCTAATATCCAGCTCGAGGAGGTTCAGGAGAAGACCGATAGAAGATGGAAGAGCAGAAAGATACTGGAAGTTCTGACTGACATTGAGGATCTCGAGGTTGATGAGGTTCTCGAGGTCCTCCGGGAGGATCATAAGGCAATTGAGACGAGCATCGAGGACACGTAGGGAAGTGAGGTAGGTGATGGTGGTTGGTAGGCTAATGAGCTTGTTTGAGTTGACACAGAGCTTCCTCAGATTGGTTAGTTCTAAGCCTATGTTGTCTGGTAATCTAATCAGCTCGTTGAAGTTGGCGTTTAGTTCTTCGAGTGACCTGGAAAAATCCAAAACGAAAGAAAACAGAGGAATCAGTCATCATCGTATATGATTCGTTTGGTTTAGATTGGAGAGTGTTTTTTCCCTGTGAATGTTTGATGTGTGAACCTGCAATTTTGAATAGTTTGGGGGAGGGAAACGAGAAAGTTGCCGGAGACATTAAGGATCTTGAGCTTAGAGAGACAACCAATGGAGTTTGGAAGAGCTTTGATCTGGTTAGAGTGAATATCTAATGCTATCAAGTTGAGTAATCTCGCTGTTAGAGATTCTGGTATTTTCTGTTATCATTCATAGACAAAACTCAAAAAAGTAAACATATAGTTATCTGTAAATATGAGATGTGTATGAGTGTATGCATAGAGATATTAAACCTTGATATGATTGTTGGAGAGATCAAGCTTGCAAATATTTGCCAAATTGAGGGAAGGATTTGGGAGAGATTGCAATGCCATGCCACTCAAATTCACAACCTCAAGTCTATCTTCCTCGTTGTTATTGTATGATGGTGAAGATGGTGAAATGGGTGATGAGGGTGGTGATGTGCTCAAGTCCATCATCATCATTGTCATCATGTGATCCTTTTGTCCATGTAATTGCTGATACTGATATGCATCTTCGCATATCATCGTTCATAGATGTGTTTGTTGTATGAAGGAAAATGATAATGGTTAAATAATGTAAAATGAGTGATTCTTGATCTGCTTATAATGGCTACACAAAGAGATTAAGAAGATTATTATCTATGGATGATAAATCAGTGGAAAATTTAAGGAAATGAATACTTTTCGGAAATTAAAGATTTGTAATTAAGAAAATTATAAAAGGTGATTAGTTGATTAAGGAGAGACACTTATGCATCACCAAGTTTTTCATAACACCCTGATCAAAAAAAATTGTTCAGCTACCCGCAAATCACTCATAAGTAAAAAAAAAAAAAAAGATTTTTTGTTTGTTTCTAATTGAACATTTGATATAAAAAAAAAAAGAAGAAGTAAACATTAAAATAATTTATTAGGACGAAACTGGCCGGGCCGATAATTTGTACTTATGTAGGGGTTAAAACAGAATTATTGATAATTTTCGAGGTTAACACAGAAATTATAGGAACAATATGCCACTAACACTAGTAATAATAATACATAGTAAAGCTCTGCTTGCTTCCACGATCATTGGAGCGAAACAGAGTAGCCGGTGACGATGGTGACCACATTAAGGGCGTCGGTGCCGGAATTCCCATCACCGTCGCTAAAAACCACCAGAGGATATTTCAATTCTCATGGTGATTTTGGCGTTTCAGTGTCTCAGTTTGGTCGGAGAAGATTTCTCATCCCGAGCAGAGTCTTCGCCGTTTCAGATATCAATAAGCTTGTGACGGAGTTTGATCCGAAGATTCCGTTGGAGAGAGCATCTACTCCGCCGAGCTCGTGGTACACTGATCCTCAATTCTACAGTTTCGAGCTTGATCGTGTCTTCTATGGAGGATGGCAAGCCGTAGGTCAGGACAATTCTCACTCACTGAGTGTTAAAAACTGTTTCTCTAAAGTTGTTAACTTTGCCATTACATCTTTTTTAGGTTACTCTGATCAGATTAAGGAGAGTCGTGACTTTTTCACCGGGAGGTTAGTAATCACATACATTTACATTTGTAAACTTTTCTATGTCTTGTTCAACGTATATGAGAATTTTGTGAGAAAGATTAAACATTGGTGCAGGCTTGGGGATGTAGAGTATGTTGTGTGTAGAGATGATAATGGAAAGATTCATGCTTTCCATAATGTATGTTCTCACCATGCTTCTATTTTGGCTTCTGGAAATGGGAAGAAGTCTTGTTTTGTTTGCCCTTATCATGTAAGCTCCACGATGGACTTGAAACCGTAACTCAACTGATTATGCGGTGAATGAATACGGTTTTGAGTTATTTTTTTGTGGCAGGGATGGACGTATAGCTTGAGTGGATCGCTTGTCAAAGCTACTAGAATGACTGGGATTGAGAACTTTGCTTTAAATGTATGTGGGTCTCTTTTTTTTTTTTTTTTTAAAGATGAGAGAGTTTGAATTCTTGCACTTGACTGTTTGAGGATATATAGGAAATGGGACTCAAACCTCTAAAAGTAGCTGTATGGGGACATTTTGTTCTTCTCAAGGTGACTCAAGCCACATCGAGGGATGGAGAAGTTGAGACTGATGGATTAGTGGCATCAGAATGGCTTGGTACTTCTGTGGGGAGGTTGAGCCAAGGTGGAGTTGATTCCCCGCTTAGTTACATATGCAGACGTGAATACACCATTGATTGTAATTGGAAGGTGAAATTTTGTTCTGACTATATACTCTTCTATATAAACAGAACTACAAAGATTGATGATGGATGGATCACTGAAAACTTTTGCAGGTGTTCTGTGATAACTACTTAGACGGTGGCTATCATGTACCTTATGCACATAAAGGTTTGATGTCTGGCCTTGATCTCGAAACCTATTCTACAACGGTATATTCCTTGAATCTGAACTAAGAACAAAATATGACTTTCAACACATGATTCTAATCTCTAGTTAGTTGCTTCTTGTGATAGACTTTATGGTTTAAGATATCAGATATTCGAAAAGGTTAGTATCCAAGAATGTGGAGGTGGTTCCAAGGTTGGTGAAGACGGTTTCGATAGGCTTGGGTCTCAAGCTCTATACGCTTTCGTCTACCCAAATTTCATGATAAATAGGTAACATACATCAAGTCCATTGCTCAACTCAACTTCCAATAATTTGACTCGACTCACTCTGCATGGTTTATGCTGAATAGGTATGGACCTTGGATGGACACGAATTTAGTGCGACCATTAGGACCAAGGAAATGTAAAGTTGTCTTCGATTATTTTCTTGATCCTTCTTTAAAGGTAAAACAAACCAGCAACATAAACCTATATATAGCCCGGCTTTGTATAGCATACAATCTTTGAAATCTTTGTGTGGCTTTAGGATGATGAAGCTTTCATCAAGAGAAGTTTGGAAGAAAGCGATAGAGTTCAGGTACGAGAAATAAATGAATCTCATTATACCGAAAATAAATGCCGTTTAAAGAGACATGAGTTTATGGAATGTATAAGTTTTTGGTGAATCAGATGGAAGATGTTGTGTTGTGTGAGAGTGTTCAAAGGGGTCTCGAATCTCAGGCCTATGACAAAGGAAGATATGCTCTTGTGGAGAAACCAATGCACCACTTCCATTGTTTGCTACATCACAATCTCAAACTGTGAAACTCTACATACTTGTAACATATTTGCATATATGTATTTATGTGAATATTCTACAGTTCTACTCTCTCTGCACCAAGCATAAAATGAAGCCTCTTTATTTAAGTCACTTCGTTCGGATTACTCTGGACTTTGAGCATTTAAGGATTAAGGTAACAGGCTTAACAACAACTAAACAAAAATAGGTATATTTTTCATCTGTTTGATGTATTAAACCGAAGAAGCCGTTTGCGAAAATACTGAGAGAAAGAGGTAAAAGTATTCACAATTTGGATACCACTAAGCCACCTTTGGTATTCTCTTTTCAAACTAATTATTAACCTGAAAAATCAACAGAAAAATTCAAAGCTTTAGATGCGTTAAATGGCTTGGCAGGCTATAGCGAAGAAAAGGTAACTAACTACTTAAACTAACTACTTAAATTACCTGATGAGTTCCTTCTCCACCGGTTTATTCTAAAGTATTGGCTGACGGGAGTTTCTGGAACCGGTATCAATTTTCCAATCACCGCCAAAGGCCAACTGGTTCCATAACATAAAACAGAATTTATCTGGTAAGCTAACGAATAAAGGATCTACTAATTCTTGTTTTGACCTACTTAAAACTCTTTGATGACAAAGTTAACAAACAAACCTGATGGAACCGATTCCGATACAGACGAGCCACATCTCCCAATCAAGCTTAGTCGTTGAGGCAAATGTTCCAAGGAACTCAACGATGACTACCTATTAAACAGTTAACAACAAGCAATAAATGGTATGTCTATATATCAGATGTATATACGAAGAAGTGACTAAATTTGCTTTGCAGGAACAGGTGAGAGAGAATCAGTACCTGGAGCACAGTGGTGATACAGATGATGCCCACAAAAAGGTGATTCCTGAGAACTCCTCGGAAAATGTTTATTTCATCTGGCTTCCGTGCATTGAACTCGTTGAAGATCTAACAAATTTAAAAAATCAGTTTGTTTCTGACTTCCCCAAGCTTTTTATACTGAGACGTCAGTGTCTTTTACCTGGCAGATGACAAAGGCATTGAAGATGACTGTATTCTTCACTCTCTCAGCATTTGGCTTACTCTTCAGATGCAGTATATTTATTCCACGGAAATTGAGGATTAACAAGACTGTCACTTGGTACATCGCCTAATAATATGCAAAACAATTGGAGCAGCAGAAAAGGCTTAACCATTGTGTTCTTAGAGAAGTTACGGAGATAAGAAGAAGAAGAAGAAGAAGAAGATAACTTACTTGTATAAACAAGTTTCTCCACATGATATTTGTGATGAGAGGTTCTCTGAAAGCAAAAGATAAATCCAATTATTGTGCAAATGGAAGAGAAACTGAGAGCACTCTATAGTTGAACAAGACTTAACACGCATGCTCAAGTCTAATAAGAAGTGGTACCTTCTGCCAACAGGGGCTCGATCCATTAAGTGATCGGTTGGTGGTTCAGTGGCTAAAGCAAGAGCCCCAAGAGTATCCATTATAAGATTGACCCAGAGGAGCTACATAGATAGGGGAAAAGACCTTTTACCAAGTTCTGAAGTGATACTTTTGTGCAGATGAGAAAGAGAGAGTATAAATTTGCTATATCGAACCTGTACTGCAGTTAAAGGAACATCACCGGCGGATATGGCAGCGACAACATTGATGACAAGGGCTGCGACATTAACTGTGAGCTGAAACTGGATGAACTTTTGAATATTGGCATACACAGATCGACCCCAACGGACAACCTATAGGGATCAGACAATTACGAAAATGGATATCTAATCATGATCATCAAAAGGGTCTTAGATAGCCCCAAAGCCCAAAGGAGAACATTTATGAGGAAAAGAATTGAGTTACAAATTTCAAATTTATCATGCAACAGAGGAGTATCAAAAGGAAGCTCCTACTAAGGATACAAACCTTCACAACGGATTCAAAGTTGTCATCCAAGATAATGATGTCTGACTTTTCCTTGGCAACTTCGGTGCCTTGGATACCCATTGCGAGACCTATATCTGCCTGAAAGTCAGGGGACAAAACAGAAAGTGTGATCCTCAATAACAGTGTTTTTTGAAGCTCACACATACGCGGGTTATGTAAATATATTGCACCTCATGCAGTGCAGGAGCATCATTGGTTCCATCACCAGTCACAGCCACGACGTGTCCCCTCCTCTTCAGCGATTGCACAAGAAGAAGTTTGTCATTGGGTGATGATCTACCCATTACCTTCAAATTTAGCAACAATGTCAGGTACCATTAAATAAATTCCTTCAATCACAACCTAAATCATAAGGCTCTTACAGATATTTCTTCACAAATCCTATCTCTTTCTCCTTCTGAATAGGATCGAAATACTTTTCCTTCAATCAGATTAGGCTCACTAGCATCTGAGTCTGAAGCTAATATACCACACTCCAATGCAATTGCTTTGGCAGTCTGAATGTTATCACCAGTCACCATACGAACCTGAGGCCAATGGTGGAATTAGAAGACTATACGCCCATGAAGAACAGAGAAGTCTAGAAAATAAACAAATTATGAAGAGAAACCCTCTGGAAAAGAAGTAAATGAGATATCTACGGACCTTGACTCCAGCTTGTTGACATAGTAAAACTGAATTTTTGACACCTGGGCGACATGGATCCTACAATGTATTGGCAGATAAAAGAACTTCAATGAATGGCCATCTGGTATGAAGAACCATATTAAGGCAGATCACAAGAC